CTAGAACGTAGACGTTCTAGTAGACGTGAGCTCTAGCCCAAATCGGCTAGAGCTCAAATCTCGAGCTGACGGGATTCGAGAACGTTTTAGAACGCTTTAGCAAACGAAATCTCATTGAAAAGAAACTTACAATAATGCAAAATATCACAGAAAACTTGAAGCATTCTTGCAAACGAAAAGCCAAGTACGATCAAGAAGTACAAGAAAAGAATCACTCTGAATTTGGCTCTGAATTTGAAATTTGGCTCAAAATCCAGTTATTATAACTGTTTTCAACTAGGTTTTAACTTCTAAATGTAAATCTAACAAGGAGAATGGAGTCATTATGGGTTTTCTTTGAACTTTGACTGCTTCATCAGTTGCGCTGTCAGACCGTTAAGCGCTGGTAAGCTGTTAGACCTGAATTTGTAATCAATTTACAATCGCAAATCCAAATACAATTGCATTCGCCAGATAATCGCATTCGAAAGGTAATCGCGCTCGAAAGGTAATCGCGCTCGAAAGGTAATCGCGCTCGAAAGGTAATCGCGCTCGAAAGGTAATCGCGCTCGAAAGGTAATCGCGCTCGAAAGGTAATCGCGCTCGAAAGGTAATCGCGCTCGAAAGGTAATCGCGCTAATCGAAAGGTAATCGCGCTCGAAAGGTAATCGCGCTCGAAAGGTAATCGCGCTCGAAAGGTAATCGCGCTCGAAAGGTAATCGCGCTCGAAAGGTAATCGCGCTCGAAAGGTAATCGCGCTCGAAAGGTAATCGCGCTCGAAAGGTAATCGCGCTCGAAAGGTAATCGCGCTCGAAAGGTAATCGCATATCGCAAGAGATTTCTACCGTAATCTTGTCTTTATTTTTATCAAATCTACTTTGCGCCAAATTTTTTGCGCAACTCGCCATAACTTTCTTCTAAGTCGACCAATCTTTTTGATTTTGGTGTCATTTTGTTTCACTTGTTGAGATCTACAAAATGACACTAAAATCATAAAGATTAATCCACTTAGAAAAAAGTTATGGTGAGTTGGTGCAAACGGCCCAGTTGGTGCAAACGACCCAGTTGGTGCAACTCACCATAACTTTCTTCTAAGTCGACCAATCTTTCTGATTTTGGCGTCATTTTGTAGATCTCAACAAGTGCAACAAAATGATACCAAAATCAGAAAGATTGGTCGACTTAGAAGAAAGTTATGGCGAGTTGCGCAAAAGACCGCAAATTATTTAGCTGCGCAAAGTAGCCACCCCCAAATCTATCTAATATTTGTTTGATTCTGTGAAGGATATCAAAAGATATAAAAAAGAGAGACAAGATTACTGTAGAAAGTGAAAAAGGACACGATTTAGTAAATGATCTATCTTTAAACTCTTAACAAATCAGAAAAATTCTCTCTTTTTCTTTACCGTAAACTCTTCTGCATCAGTTGAAAGCATTTTGTAAACCATTGCACAAAAATCAACGACGGAATCCCAATACAGTATAAAAACATCTCAATCGGATGACAGATTCGATTTATTCGAAAAATCGTTTCATCCATTGCTGTTTCATCGAAAATTCGCTCATTGACAAACATCGGGAGGTAATTTTTGTGATTTCAAATGCATAGACGACTGCAAAGAATTCCCTAATGAGATGTCGTGCAAAAGTTTTTGGTGGAAATGTAAAATGGCAATTATTTTGGCAAAATGAGTATCAAACTAAAAAAATCGAAAAGTTCATTTTTAACCAAAAAAACATTGTTGACTAGCCAATTTCGAGGAAAAGCTAGAAATTTGTGACTTGTGCACAACAAAAACAGTCATAATTGGAGGGAAAGTTGGGAGAAAAAAACGATGACGTAATGACTACTTTTGAGGTTTTAGGGGAAAATAGAATTTAGATGAGTGTTTAAAAGTTAATGAATCAAAAGCTATGACACAAACGTTTAGAAGAATCAGAAACAGCGTAGTTGACTGTTTTCTAAGATGTTTGAAGTTGAGTACAGGATCTTACTTAAGAAAGCAGTTACCGTACTCCGGAGAGGCTTCAAATGCTTCTGTACTTCTAGGGATTCTAAAAGATGGATTTACGAGAACAGTGCCCGTATTCATGAACGTTCCAAATGCGCAAGATTCCAAACCATTTTACGATGAGTTAGTTTTTTCTGAAATTTTTGTGCAGTTGATAATTTTGTTCTACTATTCCAAAAAATTATCTCAAAGAGTGAAATCATCGCTTAGTAAAATGGTTTGGAATTTTTCGCATTTGGAACGTTCATGGATACGGGTACAGGAATGTTCAAAACTGGTTCTTTGTGACTAAAGCCTCCAGAAAATTTTCACACGCAATTTACCAGCAAATTGATGATCCTCGAGAATTTCTGAAAAAAAATTAACCCAAACTTGTCTCCTCTTTCTCACGCCACTTTTCACTATAATACAAAAGATCAAAGTAATTAGCTATTTTTAGAATCCTGAAGAAATAAAACTAAACTTGTAAGCAATCTAAACGCAAATTGGTCATTGGTCATTTAACTTTAAACCACTGTTGACTGATTTGTTTATAAGATTCGTCCAATAGCGTTTAAGTAAATGTTCTTCTCACTAAATGTAATGATGACTGAATATTTACTTTCAATATATAAATAAAACAATAACCCACCAACAACACTTATTTCAGAGATCGCTCAAATAACAACAAAACACCAACGAAAATGTTATCACCGTATATCTTTTATTGATTGTTGAGCTTCGTTAAATCGACGCCGAGTTGTTTGGCCTGCGTTTCGATGAATTCGGCCATTTGCTGGTTGTTCATCTCCATTCTGAAATTGAAAATTTATATTTGATCGAGCTAAATGTGATTAATACACTAAAATATGCTTAAGTCAAAAGGAAGGGAAAAATTTAGTTTCTTCTAAATACTCCAATCGTCGAAAATCGTTCTAACCCGTGTCCAATAGGCAACGTAAATAAAAATCTCGTTTACCTGTAGTTTTTCGTCACCATTTCGACCCAACTATTCTCAAGATTCTTCAGCGCTTTTCCCGCATTCAGTTGGGTCACTTTTCGATTGGCATGCACTTCCATTAACTAAAAGTTCAAGCTGCAAACATAAAAAACGTTTTTTAAAAACGGACCTGTTCCTTGACTTCACGAAGTTTAGTTTCCAAAACTGTCAATTGTGTTTGCAATTCCTAAATAACAAAAATCAGTTACAAAAAAAACGCTTTTACTTCAGTCCAACGCCGTGAAACTTCAGGTCCAAATTCTTCAAGCAATTCCAAGTTGATTTGCCGCAGAAGGAGGTGCTCATTTTGGGCGTAAGCGTTGCGAGTAGACTAAACCTTTAGCATTAAAATTGAGAACGACACATTTATCAAAGGCTTGTATAAAAACTAAACTTATCATCGCTCAAAATTACTGGAATGTATGCTTGCTGCAATAGTACTACATTGCGCATTGGCTGTACGTATTCTGATACAAAAAAAGGAAAATAACCTTTTTCCACGCATTTTTATCGCTCGAGCGTTGTGTTCCTGCTGGTGACGGCAACTCGCATCGGCTCATATCCAATTGGGGCATTTCCTAAAGAAATAATCCGTAACTAGGTAATTAATCACCCAAAACCAATCGATTCCAAAACTTACTTGTTTCTTTGCGATCCTAGCGTTTTCCTGGATTAGCGCTGGTGTCAAAAATGCTTCGTAGTCGGGCACGGGCAAATGTTTGAGGTAGTTCTTCGTTGGTTTGAAAACCTAAAAACAGTTACTCACCAGTGGTAAATTTTCCATAAACTTGCTAAAATAATCGTTCTTTAATGTCTAATTGTTTACTATCAGCAAAATTAAGCTTCTCTATTTAAACTTAAAAAGTTTCTTTTTACAAAACTCCTGTTAAACTTTGAAATCTTTACCTTGCACTCTTGTTCAATCAACCTTCGCGCCATCTGACGATCGGCTTCTGTGTATTCCGTGTCCAAATATGGAAGCGCATCGACCAAAACCTAAGACAAAAAAAAAGATTTTAAAAAGTAGCTAAAATCTCACTTGATCATCCGAAAAACCGCCAGGAGCTGTTAGAGCCAAATTTTGCGTTGTCATCTGATCTAAAAATAAATATTGATTAAGTAAATAAAGCATAAAAAGAAAAAGGCTAAAAGTAGAGAATAAGTGTTTGACTCGAAACAATTTTCTATGGACTACGTAGCTCCTATAGACGGGGATGAGGCTGGCACAGGTTCAAAAAGGTGGTAAGAAGTGAAATGAAAAGTTGTATTCGATAAAATTCATGGAAAAATGATTGCAAAGTCAAATGCAGTAACTTTCCACAACAGAATAAATGCGGGGTAGGCTAATTTCCGCCATTTTATTTGCACCAACTCACCATAACTTTTTTCTAAGTGGATTAATCTTTATGATTTTAGTGTCATTTTGTAGATCTCAACAAGTGAAACAAAATGACACTAAAATCATAAAGATTAGTCCACTTAGAAAAAAGTTATGGTGAGTTGCGCAATGACTCCATAAATGCATGAATTTTATGCAAGAGAGAAAATAAATAACCCAATTGTTTGTCGCAGCGAAGCTATTCAGTCCGTCAACTGAATATTTTCACTTTTCTAATAGAAGGGTTTTACAAGTACTTAAAAGGACAAATTTCTGTCGGGTCGTTTTCTCACATTCTGGATTTTGTGCTTTTCGCCAACTCTTGCGCTAAAGCTTTCCAGAAGTAGGTTAATTTTTATTCAGCACATCACTTTTTGCGTAAAATGTTTGTTTCCTGCATCTACATATTTGTTTTCTCATTTATCCAAAAAAGTGTTCAATGAATCCCCTTTTATATTTCCCATCAACAAAAGAACGTGTTTTTGTAAGTTCTTTGCTCTCCGCCGCTCGCTCCTTGCTGCTTTTTCAGCTCAAAGAACGCTCAAACTTTGCACAACAAAACCCGAGATTTTTGTTCATTTTTTCTTATTTTTTGTCTTTCATTCCTTTCAAAAACAACAGTTTTATCAAAATTTGATTTTTTTTTATTTAGATGCTCGGACTTGGCACAACGCTTCGACCAGCTTTCGCCTTTGGACGACAAATCGCTCAACTATCAACACATCATGGTGGGGTTATTTTTAAGTGTATACCTAGGCTTTCCTGAATGCATAAGGGTCATAAAATTAGGTTAATGATAATTTTTAGAGAAGATGTTGATCGTTCAGCGAGTCGGTGCCAAGCAAAACGTGGGATTAATCAAACTGAATCGACCGAAAGCGCACAACGCTCTTTGCACGCCACTTATGAAAGAGGTAGAGCTGATCAAAAAATGTTGATTTTATAATATTTCTTTTATTTTGATTTTTAGATGCAAACGGCTGTCAAAGAGTTCGAAGAAGACGACAAAATTGGAGCCATTGTGATCACTGGAAGCGAAAAAATTTTTGCGGCAGGGGCTGATATCAAAGAAATGGTATTTTGAAGATTTCTTTTTACAGTTTTAGCTAAACTTTAGGTAGTAAAAGATTTTGCGACAATTTACACGGGAAAGGATCATTTCCTTGATGAGTGGAAGACAATCGCCGAATGCAAGAAGCCGATCATTGCAGCTGTTAATGGGTTTTTTACTTTAGCCTTCGGAATTAAGTTTTGTGTCTAGGTTTTGTCTTGGTGGTGGCTGTGAATTGGTTATGGCGTGTGACATCATTTACGCAGGTCATCATGCACAATTCGGGCAACCTGAAATCAACATTGGTATATTATAATTTTTTTGTTTTAAATATCTATTTTAGGAACGGTTCCCGGTGCTGGAGGGAGTCAAAGATTAACGCACGCTGTCGGGAAATCTCTTGCGATGGAAATGGTACTCACGGGAAATCGCATTGATGCAGAAACGGCATTGAGAGCTGGTCTTGTTTCAAAGGTATCACATATTGACCGAGCAAAAATCAAACTCATTTAGGTATACCCAGCAAAGGAGGTTCTTGCCAAAGCGATCGAACTTGGCGAAAAGATTGGCGAACAATCACCGTTGATTGTGCAAATGTGCAAAGAAGCTGTGAATAGTGCCTACGAGTTGACGCTGAAAGAAGGACTTCACTTTGAAAGACGTTTATTCCATGCCACTTTTTCTACGGTATAATTTCATGTAATTAAATTTGTTAATGAAAGTTTTAGCATGATCGAAAGGAGGGAATGAGTGCTTTCGTCGAAAAACGAAAACCAAAGTGGACCTCGGCTTAATATGTACATAAAAATATTGCATTTTGTTACGTGTGTTTAAAGTTTCAATAAAATCTTAAAATGAAATTTCACCAGATTTCGGGAATTAAGCAATTTCATTGCTATTGCGAAAAGTGAAAATTGTTGTCAACATGGATTCGTTTAGGTCGATGGCCAATTGAAGAAGGAGCTTGGATTCAAATTTCGATGTAAGTTTTCAATGTTCATATAGTTTGTGTAAAAAGTTAGATCTTAAAAACCGTTTCAAGCCATTGTTCAAAGTCATTTTTGAAATGTTTGACAAGTATGTCTCGATTTTGGACGTTTTTGTCCTGTAAAAGTTCGATGTTTACCTTGTTCACTCTAGCGGTTTGATTTTTGGTTTTATTCACGTCTCGGCTAAAACGCGCCCTTTTCACCGCTCACTGCGATGCGTGTGTCGCTGTTATGAAATTGCGGTTTTGGCCGGTCTTGTTTATCAGAAGAATTCGTGGGGAAATCCGTCACATGTTGACACTAAATCCCTAAAACTTTCTAATAACTGTTGTTCCAATCAATCTTAAAGTAATTCATTAATGAATTGTTTAGTCTCTTGATTTCTAGATTTTGTTTAATTGTCTTCATAACCAGCAACTAAATTTAGATGGGCAACAATCAACCCGGAGGCACAACCAAACGAGAGCGAGGCGAGATGGGGCAAAGTCCAGGCGGGAGGACGCGCGCGATGAGCGGAAACCCGCCACCCAACTTAAGCAGTTCGGCCGAAGATGGATGTCCTGTACAGGTACTTGACTTTCTGCTTAATTGGTCAGTAGATTGATAGTTCTTTAGTGTAAAGGAACGTGTATCTGTAAAAGTTTCGATAATTATGAACTCGTTTACTTATCATTATGCAATCCAAAGGCAATTTTAGGTGAAAATTGCGAAAAGCCTTGACGATTCGAATGGCTCCCTTCCGAGTGTGGCCACACTGACTGTGAAAGATAAAAACGAGTATCCAGTGGTTTTTAAGTGGCATGGTGGATCACAATCGGGACCACGGTAATATTGACAAATTTTTTTTTTGCTAATGCAAGATTTAAGACAAGTTTCTATCTGTGGTTCGTGGGACAATTGGAGACGAAAGATCCCGCTAGTGAAATCGCAGAACGACTTCACGACAATCGTCGAGTTACAACCAGGTATTTTGTTTTAGACTTTTAAGCTTTTTTTAAAATTTCGTCCTTTCTTAATTTACAATCTTATTCAGGTGACCACGAGTACAAATTTATGGTTGACGGGAAATGGGTTGTGGATGATAATCAACCAAAAAACCGACAACCCAATGGGTTCCGAGAATAACGTAATCCACATTGATGAGGCTGATTTTGAGGTAAATCATAGCTTTTTCATTTAGTAGCTTTGTAAATAGTTTAGAAGTAGTTATTCAAAATCTTTTAGGTTTTTGATGCGCTCGATAAAGATCTTGCCTCGTCGAACGCCGGTGAAGCGATGAGAAACTTGAACAAGGTTAGTTGAAGTTGCACGTTTTTTTTTACTTCTCTGTTTAGGCTCCTACCAGCCATGATACACCAAATGATCGTGAATTGGAAAAAATGCACGCTTTTTCACAGGTTAAGAAATTTCTTCTTCATTCACATAGTTTTGATTTAGGAAGTCCCGGATCGTAAAGACTTCGACAAAGCAGCAAATCCTCCTGTACTTCCACCTCATCTTCTGCAGGTTGCTTTGGTTATTGTTAACGTTTGTAGTATTATTTCAGGTTATTTTGAACAAAGATGTGCCCGTGCAATGTGATCCTAATGTCCTTCCCGAGCCAAATCATGTAAGGGTCTTTCGATTTTAAAACAAATTTAATCTGAATATTACAACAAGAAATTTTAAAATATTTTTCGTTTCTTTTAGGTCATGCTTAATCACCTTTATGCGCTCTCGATCAAGGACGGTGTGATGGTGCTTTCTGCAACTCATAGGTATGCATTTTGAGTTGAAAAAAAATTATCAAACTGTGTCGTTTTTAGAAACCGTTCTATTGTAGTCACAAGAAATTCAGTACACAATCAGTGAAACTTTTAAAATACCCTATTCAGCCATTCTTTTTCAGGTACCGCAAAAAGTATGTGACCACTCTCCTCTACAAGCCGATCAGTTGATTTATGCGAATTAAATTAATTTTCAAATCAAGGACACCTTTTATTTCGTCAAGCTGAAGATTTTTATATTTCCATTGTAATCTCATTGTTTTACAAAAAGGCTTTGATCGTAAGAAAATCCGAGTGACTCGAAGCGTGTTTTAAAAATAAGTGATAGCTTTTTTAAGTCAACATTTCTTCGTGCAGATTTTTGTTCCTTTATTAGATTGAATCTGTTAGTTAACATGATTTCGAGATCCTTTTTTTTGTTAAAGTACAATTTTTAGCACTTTCTCGCTTTATCCCGAAAAGTTGTGGGATATACGAAAAGTGCCATTATTTGTTTGTTTCCAGGTGTTTTCTTGAGCGATTCCACGATTTTGTGGGTAAAAAACATTGATTAGTCGAACGGGGATGAGCTTCTCATGGCTCACCCATGCACATAGATTATTCATTTCGTTTGTAATTTGTAGTTTTGTCCCGGAAGAATAAAGATCCTGAAAAAATGGATGAAAAAACGCCTTGAAGCAGAACAGAATTCAACAATCGAGGAGGAGTACTGTAAATAAATAGAAATTTCATGTAAACGAAGGGCTACTGTAGCTGAATTTGGATTTGTATCTAATAGGGGTTACGGTAGCTGAATTGTTAACGAATTCGACGAAAGCTTTACTGAACATTTACATTTACAGATTGGATTACTGTATCTGGATCAAAATTTACATTTAGTGAGAGTTACTGTAGCTGGGTACAACTACAGTACTAAGTTTCCCGATTACAATTTAGCTGAATATCTTTAAACTTGACATTTTCTTGGTTACCAGGGTCTCCCCCCGTTGCTATAAACATCATTTTGGCGATAAGGTCTAACTCTTGAGATAGCCAAAATATGGAAAGAGATCCAGGTAGATTGCGTGTTCAGAATTTTTAATGTCCAAAGAGAATCTTAAGAAAAGAAAGAATTTCCCTCAAATCCACCATTTCTAGCTTTATTTCTATTGATCTTGGATATTTTAAAGTTTACTTAAAATGGTAAGTATTAGACATTTTTATGAAACTTTATGAATTTTTTCGTCTTTTCTCAGTTTGGCTTCATTCACGAGAGTGTCCGTCAGTTGATGTTACGCAAATATGGAGAAGAGTTTTGGCAGAAAGTCTTGTGAGTTTTCAAAGTTTAGAAGGGAAAGGGAAACGCTTTAGAAAGTGAAGAGAAAGAAATTCTTTCGAAGATTACCGTTATATTATGAATTTTCTAGACAAAGAGCCGGCTTTGAAAGCGGAAAAGAGAACATTGTTAATCATTACTACTCTGATGCGGACACTTATGTACTCATCGATGCGGTTAGTGTCATATCAAGTGAGTCGGCTGAGTCTTTGAAATACACTACTGGACAAATGAAATATCATATTTGAAGAAACGATCGTCACTTTCGCGCGTCTGTAACTCTGTAACGTCTGTAACTCGTCTGTAACTCGTCTGTAACATCTGTAACGTCTGTAACTCGTCTGGAACTCGTCTGTAACTAGTCTGTAACGTCTGTAACTCGTCTGTAACTCTGTAACGTCTGTAACTCGTCTGTAACTCGTCTGTAACTTGTCTGTAACGTCTGTAACGTCTGTAACTCGTCTGTAACTCGTCTGGAACTCGTCTGTAACTAGTCTGTAACGTCTGTAACTCTGTAACGTCTGTAACTCGTCTGTAACTCGTCTGTAACGTCTGTAACGTCTGTAACTCGTCTGCAACTCTGTAACGTCTGTAACGTCTGTAACTCGTCTGTAACTCGTCTGTAACTCTGTAACGTCTGTAACTCGTCTGTAACTCGTCTGTAACTCTGTAACGTCTGTAACTCGTCTGCGTCTGTAACTCCGTAACGTCTGTAACTCGTCTGTAACGTCTGTAACGTCTGTAACGTCTGTAACTTTGTAACGTCTGTAACGTCTGTAACTCACAATTTTTCATGGCATAGAGAAAGAGGTCACTCAGCACCGTTTCCTTTCTTTTGACACTTTTTGCATGAATCATTACCGTATTCGAGGCGAACGGAGAGTTTTGGTTGAGAAAAACTTTCACAAAGACCTTTCCGATGCAATTCAAATGATTGTTGGTATAATAGTACGAACTAGACATGGGAAAATTCAAAGCTCAACTTAATTCCTTTATTTTTTTTTATTTCCTTTCAGCCGTTTCTTGATCGATTCCTTTGAAATTATGGCTATAAGCTGATTTAAGCTATAAGCTATAGGCTATAGGATGATTTAAGCTACAAGCTATAAGCTAAAAGCTGTTTTAAGCTATAAGCTATAAGCAGGGAACCTTCCCAAGTTACCCGCGAGTTACAATATGAGGTACAGTACTGGACAATGAAATATCATATTTGAAGAAACGATCGTCACTTCGTCACTTTCGCGTCACTTTCGCGCGTCTGTAACTCCGTTTTCTTTGAGTTTAAACTATTAGTGTTATACATTTTTTGCTCTGCATCAGGAGCCAAAGGTTTATCGATTCTGGGGTAAAAATCAATAAGGATGTGTACCAAAAAAAGATTCTTGAGGATGTTTTGCTCTCATGCGCTCAACAGCCTTACGGTAACGGATTTTGGACCTTCCAACAAGACTCCGCTCTTTCTCATCGAGCCAAATCCACACAGGACTGGTGTAGGACAAACTTCCCGGATTTCATCTCGGCCCAGGAATGACCTCCGTATTCGTGCGATCTCAATTCGTTGAACTACAGTGTTTGGTCAATTTTGGAGGCAAGGGCTTGTGCAAAACCCCACAAAAGTTTGGAGGCTCTTAAGCGAACGTTGAATGGGATCGAATCACTCCGGCTGAGCTGCGGCCCATCGCCGAAAATTTCATCAAGCATTTGAGGCTCTGAACCAGAAGCCAAAGGTGGCCACCTTGAAGAAAACTAGATTTTATGCTCTCTTTATATCATGTTGTTAATCAAAAAAATTCTTTCTGCTACAAAATCTTTTTGGATTTTTAAAAAAATAGACTAAATTAGGCCGCAACGTTATTTCTGATCACCCTGTAATACAGCTTAAGTACAAGAGATCTGTTATATTGTTGTTTCTATGTTATTTTCTATTTCTATTAGGGTGGTGCAAAAGAAACTGCCGATGAGTATCAGCTCTCATTTATCAAAAACGAGTGATGCTAACGGCATTAGTTTTTTCTATGTTTTGTTTGCTATTTATTTCGATATTTGAATTGAAAGCTCTTTTCAATGGCTACACAATGGTAATATTAATATTTAGAAATACGGTAAAGAGAAGGGAGTTACAGATGGGCAAAAGTGATGATCTGCTTTTCAAATCTAATATTTCATTGTTCTTTAGTTTATATTCATTCTATCAAGTGAGTCTTTGAAAGATATCGATTCTAGAAATGTCTCGTGAACAAGTTTGGGAGCTTTACGGTGCTTTCCTCATCGAGTACACTATGGAGATTGGCTGGGACGAGTTGATGAGAGCGATGAGTCCGAATTTAAAGGTGTGATCGGAGCGGGAGGATTTGAGAAGTTGAAATCGAATCTCTATTTAGGGTTTCCTTGACAATCTTGACTCATTGCACTACTTTATCGATCATGTTGTCTACAAGGCGAATCTCCGCGGGCCATCTTTTCGGTAAGCGTTAACGATCTACTATTTAAAGAAAAGTATTTCGTCTGTTCGTCTGTTCGTCTGCAAGCTTCTCGTCTTTATGCTAGTTCTCGACTTCTCGTTGGCTAATTTACATAGTACAGGGTGCGTCATAATTATTGCAACAAGAGTTCAAAGACCGTTTGTGATGTCAAGAATGTGATGTCATGGGCGTGTAAAGCCAATAACAATCAAAATTGGACCTTCATGCAAGATGGAGCTCCCGCTCACACGAAGAAGACGGTTCAGGACTGGTGTGTGGCCAACTTTCCCTCAGTGATCACCAAGGATGAATGGCCTCCAAACTCACCGGATCTCAATTTGATGGACTTTTCCATCTGGGCAATCTTAGAGGCTAATGTCTGCTCTTTGACCTTGAAGAAGTCAAAACCAAAGTTAAAACCTTGATCAAAACCAAAGGATGGAAGGCGACTCCTCAAGATGACATTCAGGCCGCAGTGGAGACATATCCGAACCGATTAAGGGCTGTTATCAAGGCAAAAGGCGATCATATCGAATGATCTCTTGTTTCCTTACTTGCTACTGTTAAATAAAGCCTATTTCTGTTTAAAAATCTTCTTCCAGTGAAACTTCTTGGTGTGCAATGCCTTGAGTATCTTGTTGCAATAATTATGACGCACCCTGTAGATCAAAGTATTCGTAAATGTATTTGAAATAAACCATTGTCAACAGTTGACTCCCGGCGGAATGAATAAGTCGCTTGGCGGCATCAAAACGACCGGCATAACAAGCCAAGTGAAGACACGTATCTCCATACATATTTTGACATCTAATCATCTGAAAGAACAAGGCTTTGACTTAGTTTTTAAAAACATAGCTTTTAATTTGTTAGGGCTTAGAATTTTATCTAGTTTTCCATCTCATATTTCGTTTTTTTAAAAAGCAAAAGTCAAGACACGGCGGGGAGTCGAACCCGGACCTCGTGGGCTCTAGAAAAGCACCCTCCTGACTGCACCATGGCGAGAGAAACACCCTGCTAGAAAAACCAGCTGTTAGGCGGGGTTTTCGGTCTTCAATAAAGGTTTCTTTCTAGGTGTGAAGAGAACACGGATGGGAGTATCACATTGCATTATTACACTGGTCGACCGGGTCTCTACCCGATTGTGAAAGGTACTTAACTCTTTTTTTGGGTTCCTTTTTGCTTAAAAGATTATATCTATGATATTTGAGCTTTTGGTAAAAAAGTGAGATGTCTGGCCGGTGGCGGAGTCGAACCCTTGAGCCATGGGACTCGGTGCAAGAGCGCTAACCACTTGGCCATTCAGCATCAGAATCTATCCGGTCTTTACCGGGTTAATTCAGCCGTTTCCCGAAAAACATACCCGCGGCAAACTGGCATTTCGAATTATAAATGGAGTTAAGTCCCTTTGGAGTATGGGACATCAGGTGCCTTGTGGTGTAGCGGTTAGCACAGTTACCCAGCAAGCGAAAGGTCGCGGGTTCGAGTCCCGGCGGCGCAAAAGTTTTTGATCTGCTGTTTTTTGATCTGAAAACATAGCCGCGACAGACTGCTCTTTCGAATTATTGGACTTAAGTCCCTCTGGAGCAAGCGAATTCAAGTGCCTTGTGGTGTAATGGTTGACTGGTAGGCGAAAGATCCCAGGTTCGAATCCTGGTGGCGCATAAGTTTTGATCTGCTCTAGTTTCAACTAGGTGCCGATGATATGCTCTCATTGAAATGGTAAACCGATTATGTTTGAATTTGAAAGCCCACTGGTTCACAGAGAAAAGATTTCAAGAACAAAAAGCCAGAGAACCAGAGTAAGTGGGCTGGAAAATTTGAGTTTTGAAGTATCATTTGGAACTCTGGAGTCAGAATTGTTGAAATTTATGAATCCAGGTGTGCTTCGTGAGGCGGCGAAACGTGTTTTCAACATTGACATCTCGTTGTCGATTACGGGAAGAACCCAACGATCTGTTCATATGTCAACTGGAGAGAAAATCGAGGAACACGTCATTTTTTTGATTAAGGTATGAAAATGTTGAGAGATTTGGTGGAGAAAGACTAGCAAGGTTCGAGTCAAAGTTGTAAGTTGTTAAGTCGTAAAGGAATCGGAATCATTGAAGGTATTGTCGTAAAGACTGTAATAGTACCCTATCTCGATAACGGAGTGTTGCGTAGTCTAGTTTGGAAGTCTAGCTGCGTAGTCTAGCTTTGACCGTAGTCTAGCTGCGTAGTCTAGCTGCGTAGTCTAGCTTTGACCGTAGTCTAGCTGCATAGTCTAGCTGCATAGTCTAGCTTTGAACGTAGTCTAGCTGAGTAGTCTGGCTTTGAACGTAGTCTAGCTGCGTAGTCTAGCTTTGACCGTAGTCTAGCTTTGACCGTAGTCTAGCTGCGTAGTCTAGCTGCATAGTCTAGCTTTGAACGTAGTCTAGCTTTTTCTTGGCATTGGTTTATGCTAAAATGCGCGCTTGGGTATCAAAAAAAGCTGAAATTCAGCGATTTTTATCTGTGATATCACAGACACTTTTTTTGCAATGAAGGGCGCTTTGAATAGAATGAAATACGCAAAACTTTGTGACTACACGACTGTACGATAGTCTAGAGAAAGTCTTAGAGAATTTACGGTAGATATATTGAAAAAGATCTTAAATTTAGTAACAAGTATTGTAGGTTGTTTTTTAAATCTTTAGACAATTGAAATCTTTAGACAATTGAAATCTTTAGACAATTGACAATTGACAATTGACAATTGAAATCTTTAGACAATTGAAAAAGAGGGTTCTCCAACGACGGATCTCATCGGAACCACCGGTCGAATGTCGCCGATTGGACGCGATTTTAAACTGCGATTGAGTCAAAGGGATTTTATAAACGCTTTCCCGTATCATGTCGTCGTCGATCAAGATTGCAAAGTGATGCAAGTGGGGAGAGAGTTGTAGTAAGTTTGTTTAGAAAGCTAAAAACTCGATCTTTTTTCTAGTTAGACTAGAAGTATTTGGTTGGTGGAAAAGTCCTTTCGGATTTTTTGGGAGAGTACCTTAAATTTGTCGAATTTTGACGTTTTATAGCTCATCCTAAAGCTGAATTCAAGACGGATCGATTGGTAAAAACCGTTTTGAGATATCTCTTTTCTTAAAGCTTTTACAGCTATTTTAGTAAAGGGCGGCAGAGCCAAAAAAGCCAAAAAATGGCTGTTTTCACGTTTCGTTAGTTTTCCGTGCAGAAACCTAGGCTAAAAACATGTGTTTCGTGATCAGCGTCAAAAATAACCCCTAGACACGCATTTTTAGAATCTTGGCAAACGAGAAAAACGAAGAAAAAACGCGAAAAGCGGCGGAAAGGCTATTGATCTGAGGGTCGCTGGTTCGACTCCCACCGGTGACAATATTTCGACAATAATCGTTGAAACCAATTCCGGATAGTTCGTTCGGTCACGAAATCGGGTCCATAAACGTCAGTATCAGTATCTGATTTGGTTGATGAGGATCCTCGACAAACGAGTCGGGAACTCGCTGAGCAAATGAATTGCCACCATACCACGATTTTGAAACATCTTCGGAAAATGGGAAAAGGGAAAAGCAAAGACTCGGATCCTGGGTTCCACACCTCTCCGGCCAATAGAAGGAAGCGATGTGAGGTAGCCGAACTTCTTTTTGATAGGCACATGAAAACCCGAGGTCAGGATCGTCGATTTATTCATCGAATAGTGACAGGTGACGAAAAATGGTGTCTCTACGTGAATGTGAAGTCATGGAAAGAATGGGTTGATTCCGATCAACAAGTAACTCCAAGGGTAGCAACTCCATAAACGTCAGTAAACTCTCGATGAGCCTGTGCGGCATTGAGTCTTCGGTTGAATGCATACAAAAAAAAGGTGTCGCTGGTGCTCCTCCGATTCTTAGCAATAGACACCAGCAACATTCAACCGAAAACTCAATGCCGCACAGGCTCATCGAGAGATTACTGACGTTTATGGACCCGATTTCGTTTATGGACCCGAAACAAGTGTCGCTGGTGCTCCTCCGATTCAAATTGACACGACATTCCTGAAGAAAGCCTTCTAACACCTTCTACATCAAAAAAACGAGAAAAACGAAGAAAAAACGCGAAAAGCGGCGGAAAGGCTATTGATCTGAGGGTCGCTGGTTCGACTTCCACCGGTGACAATATTTCTCAAAAAATTTTTGCTAAGATTCTAAAAATGCGTGTCTAGGGGTTATTTTTGACGCTGATCACGAAACACATGTTTTTAGCCTAGGTTTCTGCACGGAAAACTAACGAAACGTGAAAACAGCCATTTTTTGGCTTTTTTTGGCTCTGCCGCTCTTTACTAAAATAGCTGTAAAAGCTTTAAGAAAAGAGATATCTCAAAACGGTTTTTACCAATCGATCCGTCTTGAATTCAGCTTTAGGATGAGCTATAAAACGTCAAAATTCGACAAATTTAAGGTACTCTCCCAAAAAATCCGAAAGGACTTTTCCATCAACCCAATAGTTAGACTAGACTAGACTTTAAAAAGCTTTCATTTCCTTTTCTAATTAGATTTTAAAATGAATTAAAAGACGAATAGCTAGAGTTTTCTATTTCTGAATTTCTGAAGTAACTTATTTAGCAATTTATTTAGCAACTTTGTGCCTAAAGAAATGCTCGAACCGGGCACTCCATTGATGAGAATTTTCGAGATTTCTCGGCCACAAATCCCGCTCGAATTCGACTCGATTTGCAATTTTATCAATGCCGTTTTTGTGCTTCAGGTTTGGAATTAGATTTATAGAGTTATTCGGTGAATAAAAAGACGGGGAAATTCTAAATGTAAACGTCAATAGGAGTGCAAAGAAATTGCCTTATTTTCCCACTCTAAACTTTTTGATTTTTAGATAAATTAATGGGAATTTTTCATTTTTCTATCAATTGAAATGAAAGACGAAAAGAAAAGACGAATTCAAGTGAAATTCGAAAAGATATAGCACCTTTTTCGTTGAACACCTATTGACATTGACACCGAAAATTCTCGCGTCTATTGGGAAATGTCATTAGGATTTCTAATAACTAAAGTATATCAAAAATTGTAGGAAAATTTGTACAGGGTGACCCACAATTATTCAGCGAAATTCAGAGCGTCTAGATTAGCCAGAATTCAGTCAATCATTCTGCTTTTTATGCAAATAAATCTTAAGTATATCTCCTAAAACGTTGTCAATTATCTAATCAATTTAATCGGTACTTGTTGGTTAGCTAGCTTTCGATCAGCCTTCGATCAGCCTTTGATCAGCTAGCTTTCGATCAGCTAGCTTTCAATCAGCCTTTGATCAGCTAGCTTTCGATCAGCTAGCACTCTACTTCACTCTACATCATCACCCCGCACAAGTTGTCTGCTTCCTTCTTGACCCAGATGAGTCTTTGTGGATGTATAACCGACAAGTACCAATCTAAGCTGACAATTTCTGAGGGGTGACTATGTTCAGTGAAGTAGTGCTCGTTTAAAATGACCGTGATCAGTGATCAGTCGATCAGTCGAACGAAAATCGATAACAGAGAAGACTCGGATGGGGATGCTTAACAAAGATGAATCTTTGTGAATTTTTAACCCACAAATACCGGAAGTTCTACTCAGCCAAAAAACTTGCCTAATAGCTCATTTTGTAGCCAATTTGATGTAGTTTCTTAAAGTAAAGCTACATTGAACATTTGTTTTTCAAAGCTAGGAGAAAGAGGGCGAGGAACGACTTCAGTTGAACTCGGTCGCTGTTTTCACATTTGAGAGTTCCCCTGAATTTGTTCCTCGCCCTCTTTCTCCTACTTTTAACGAAAAATTGTTTTAGATGGCTTTACTTTAAGAAACTACATCAAATTGGCTACAAAATGAGCTATTAGGCAAGTTTTTTGGCTGAGTAGAAAATTTTTTATAGCCACCCAAAGTTTAGGTTCAAAAACCTAAACTTTGGGGGCTCAAAAAAAATTTTCTACTGAGCCAAATGAGCTAATTTCAAAAATTTATTATAAAATATATGTATTATGAACATTTTTTGTGTGGGTGACTTTTTGATTGGATGCCCGGAAATACCCTCATTCGTTAGCGGCTGAATTTAAGCTATGACATATAGATAAATAAATTGTGGGTCACTTGTAGATCGGAATATTAGTTTCAATCATCAAAGCATGCTTAAAATGAAGTTCTAAAAGCTATTCAGCTGAATGCTAAAGCTATTCAGCTGTTTAGCATACAATAATAAGCAAATCTTTTAGGTTAAAACAACTCCACTTGAGCTGCGCCGAACGATGGGTGGAGGAGATCAAAAAAGAGATAGCGTGGCAACGGCAATCAGTGCCACGAGTGGGATGAGTGATAGGTGGAGTGATAAATTGATTAAATCCAATATCCAATTCATCGAATTTCTTTTTAAACTATACAATTTTCTGTTTTTTTGTGAGTACACGATAAGCTCAGCCGCCTCGTCGCGGCATGGGAGTCGACGAAGAAGAGCAAGACAGATTTTCGCTGGATCAACGGGTTTCCCATCGATCACAATCTCTTCTTATGATAGCACTAGGGAATTATCAGCGATTTTTGACTTGGATGAAGAAGATATCCCGGAAGAAGAGCCAGAAATTGAAATGGAAGCGATTCAGTCAAATGAAGAGGATGGTTGTGTTGAAGAAGAGGAAGAGAATGGGAAAAAAGTCGACTTTTCGTGGATTGCTTGCCAAAAAACGATTCGCGGTTGTACACCGCCGAAAGTTCCGCCACCGTATCGTGAGGAAACCCCGACGTATATGAGAAAAATGAGGAAAGAATGGAGTCCGCCAAGACAACAAACAATGGAGAATTTCCAACGGTACGGATTGACTCGTGTACAAGCTTTCTTTTTGATTTTGATCCAACTATAAGTTTCTGCTGAAGCTGAAGAAACTAGGGGTGACCCAGAACAGTTAGAATAGCTATCATAATATCTATCTATTGTACTCTAGTGTGTCCTTAAAGGGGGGGTATTAATCGCGGCCGGGTAACCATAAAAAAAATTTTCCGGCAACCACTTGTTTTTTTATTTTAATATCGCTGATTTTATTATAAAAAGAATAAAAATCATCCGGCTAGAGTGATTTGATGGGTTTACAAATTTGATTTGAAAGTTGAAGACGCTGCAATGCTCGCGTCTGCAAGGCAAGGCTGCAATGCTCGCGTCTGCAAGACAAGGCTACAAGGCCCGCGTCTGCAAGGCAAGGCTGCAAGGCAAGGCTACAAGGCTCGCGTCTGCAAGGCAAGGCTGCAAGGCTCGCGTCTGCAAGGCTCGCGTCTGCAAGGCAAGGCTGCAATGCTCGCGTCTGCAAGGCTCGCGTCTGCAAGGCAAGGCTGCAAGGCAAGGCTACAAGGCTCGCGTCTGCAAGGCAAGGCTACAAGGCCCGCGTCTGCAAGGCAAGGCTGCAAGGCTCGCGTCTGCAAGGCAAGGCTGCAATGCTCGCGTCTGCAAGGCAAGGCTACAAGGCTCGCGTCTGCAAGGCAAGGCTACAATGCTCGCGTCTGCAAGGCAAGGCTGCAAGGCAAGGCTACAAGGCTCGCGTCTGCAAGGTAAGTGCGAAAGTAGAGCAAAAGTCAGGCATTATCTTTTCGTTTTGTTTTCTTTAGACTTTCGCACTTAGACACTTTTGATGTTTAAGATCTCTAGATGTTCCAGATGGAGATTTTATGTTTAGATAATGCAAAAGGCCATCAAAACACCCTAAGATATCTATTAGAGTATGTTCCTCTCGAGTAATGCGTTTTCTAAAAGACACAATTGACCACAAATGGAAAAAAGATCTAATTTTGTCAATCAAAGCGCTGAAGACGGCCTACGGTGGAGGAGATCCAGTCACTGGGCTCCAGAAGGGAGATCCAGAAGATGCGCTGGAAATTGATAAGATAGGAAGCCGATTTGAGGAACTGCTGTACTTGAAAGTGAAGATGAAAGTGAACAAGAGGAAGAATTATAGATTAACAACTTATTTTTATTGTTTTTTGTGCTTTTTATTTTGTTTTTAAATTTATCTGCAATTAAAACTCAATCGATCTAGACTGTGCTGAGGTGTCTGATGAGTGGCGATCTTGTTTTCCTCCAAGCCTTGCAGCATCTCCAAAAATTTGTAAACCCATCAAAAACCAAAAGTGTCTAAGTGCGAAAGTCTAAAGAAAACAAAACGAAAAGATAATGCCTGACTTTTGCTCTACTTTCGCACTTACCTTGTAGATGAGCCTTGTAGATGAGCCAAGCGAGCCTTGCAGCGTCTCCAACCATCAAATCTGTTCAATCTACTTTTGCACTTACCTTGTAGATGAACTACGCGAGCCTTGCAGCGTCTCCAACCATCAAATCTGTTCAATCTACTTTTGCACTTACCTTGTAGATGAACTATGCGAGCCTTGCAGCGTCTTCAACCATCAAATCTGTTCAATCTACTTTTGCACTTACCTTGTAGATGAACTATGCGAGCCTTGCAGCGTCTTCAACCATCAAATCTGTTCAATCTACTTTTGCACTGACCTTGTAGATGAACTACGCGAGCCTTGCAGCGTCTTCAGCCATCAAATCTGTTCAATCTACTTTTGCACTTACCTTGTAGATGAACTATGCGAGCCTTGCAGCGTCTTCAACCATCAAATCAAATCAAATTTGTCCCATCACCCATCAAATCACTCTAGCCGGGTTATTTTTATTCTTTTTATAATAAAATCAGCGATATTAAAATAAAAAACAAGTGGTTGCCGTCAAAAAAATTTTTATGGTCATCCGGCCGTTATACTCCCCCTTTAAAGCTTTCGTTACTTCTTTTTTGCATTAGTTTCTGTATTTTCATTTAACTTACCTATATGAGGTAAGTTGAATGCCTAACACATCCTTTATAGCATCACAAAATTGCCGTAAAAGAAGTGAACAACTAAGCGCACTAGAAATGAGGTGTTTAAACACTTCGAGCACAAAGTACGGCAAGTCAGGTAGCTGAACTAGTTACCTAACCTAAGCCTAAGCTTAAAGGAAAAGTTTGCGAGCAATAAGCAGTTAGAATAGCTATCATAGCTAGTTAGAATAGCTAGCATAGCTATCTATTGTACTCTAGTGTGTCCTTAAAGCTTTAGTTGCTTCTTTTTTGCATTCGTTTCTGCCTTTTTCATCCAACTTACGCTTAAACTCAACCCCTAAAAAGTTCTATTTAAAAAATTTTTCAAATCTTTTCATGCATGAGTCAATCTGTATCGGCTGGACACTTTTCCACCAATTCATTTTTTAATTTTTAGCGTCTTCGACAGTGATCACAGTCAGACTGAAGCAAGTGGACAACATTTGAAATTAAAGGGACAAATGATGCTTTCATGCACGGGGAAACACATCATTTATTTGTGTTCACCGTATGTGACGAGTATCCCAGAATTGCTCTCATTTGGTGGGTTTTTAAAGAGGAATCTAGAGAAATTCTGAAAAATTCTGAAAGTCTACAAGTAACTATAAGTTTATTTTGATAAAATAGATTAGTTTTGTAAGCAGTAATCAAACAAATAGTTGATACTTTACGACAGAATCGACAGAACACCACAGAATCGGTTTCTGTCGTCAGAATCCGATCATAAATTGTCTTGTGGTCGGATTCTGACGGCTGAAACTGATCCTGTCGTGTGGTCGGATTCTGTCGTAACAGATATATCTAAAAAGAGCATGACAGTGACGCTAACATGTTATATATTTACTCTACTAGCTGAATTCTCTTATTAAATCCCTCTGAAATGAGCAGTTCAGGTCTAGGGCTAGACCTGAACTGAACTAGACCCGGGGTTAGGGTTAGACCTAGAACCAGAAAAGAACCAGTACAGGCCAAATCCCAGATCCATTTTGAATTTGACTAGGATCAGGCCACAGGCTAAGCCTGGCTTGACCTGGCCAGCTGATCCTGGGTCAACTCACCGCCAACTGACTCTGGGTCAACTGCCCCTGGGCCAACTGACGGCCAACTGATCCTGGGCAACTGACGGTCAACTGATCCTGGGTCAACTGACGGTCAACTGATCCTGGACCAACTGACGGCCAACTGATCCTGGGTCAACTGACGGCCAACTGATCCTGGGTCAACTGACGGCCAACTGATCCTGGGTCAACTGACGGCCAACTGATCCTGGGCCAACTGATCCTGGGCCAACTGACGGCCAACTGATCCTGGGCCAACTAATCCTGGGCCAACTGACGGCCAACTGATCCTGGGCCAACTAATCCTGGGCCAACTGACGGCCAACTGATCCTGGGCCAACTGACGGCCAACTGATCCTGGGCCAACTAATCCTGGGCCAACTGACGGCCAACTGATCCTGGGCCAACTGACGGCCAACTGACCTTGTCATATAGATTCTTTCAGCACCATCTCGTGTTGTTAATGATAAACAAAAACTTTTCAAAGCCAGCACAGTCTTATCGACTCTAGGAATGCGTCTGACTGCAATGCCCCTTCACGATGCTACAAGAGATCTCATTCTTCTCAATCAACAACGTCTTTCCGATGTTGAGCTGAAGTAGGAAACCTCATAATCAGTTTTAGTTTGTAAAAGTTTCAAATTCTAAAAATACACATTACGATAGCGTCTTCAATTGTTTAAGGAAAACAATTGAAACTCGAAATCTCAAAGAATTTCCTTTCAGCCTCCAACTCGAGGCCAACAATGAACAACTTGAAATTTTGGCGAAAGATCTTGAGCTAGAAAAAGGGAAAACCGATGCTCTGCTGTCTGAAATGTTACCAGCATCAGTGGCTCAGCAATTGAAGAGTGGAATGAGTGTGGATGCAAGTAAGAGTTGAAGAATGAATTTCAGAAAGTTTTTGTTTCTAGGAGAATACCAAGAAGCGACGGTGATGTTCTGTGATGTGCCCTCATTTCAACAAATCGTTCCCCATTGTGCTCCGAAAGATGTGGTGATGTTGTTGAATGATCTCTTCACGAAATTCGATCGATTGGTCATCTTGCAAAAGGTTTATTTGAATATTACAATTATTGAAATCTATTGGGTTGGTGAATTGAAAAACTGCTGCTTGACTGCTTCTTCTGAATCGAAGTGTTCTCCTGCAAGCTCACTCATGGCCCGGAATAAATAGTCATCAGAAGGGGCGGACTGTATAGGGTATGCGCCAAAAGTTCCCAACAAGGCTATTTATTTTAGAGGGAGTCAGTTTTGCAACATGAGGGCGCGCGTTGTCGTGGATGAGAACGATCTTTGACTTTGAGGGCCTATTCTTCTTCAGGGATTCATTCACCCTTCTCAACTGTTCACTGTATTTGATTGCATTAATGGTCTTGCTATCCAGCAACTCCCAGTACACCACTCCCTCCATATCCCAGAAAATGCAGAGCATAAACTTCTTCTGGTGCAAATCGGGCTTAGGGTCACTTTCGGGTTTCTCGCCTGGCCCCACCCATTGTCACTTCCTCTGAAAGTTCACAGATAAAACCCATTTCTCATCTCCTGTCACAATTCGAGGAAGAAAGGATTTCCTTTCGACATCTCTCACGGAAGAAGAAAGGACATCTCTCACGGAAGAAGAAAGGACATCTCTCACGATGCACTGATCGAGGCGCGCTGCCTCTTCTGAGGATCATTGAGGTCATGGGGCACCCATGGGTCAACTTCGAGCACCCAAGCCCCAACTTTCGATTGGAACTTGGAGCACCCAAGCCAAAATCCTACTAAGAAGGATTTTGGTTTGTGTGTGAGACTCAAAAATGGAGGACTGGAGATGTCCCAGTTTGATCACTTTCCTCAAAAGAAACCTATTTTGGTGTCAATAGAAAAGTTGTAGAGAATCAAAAATTAGGCTTATAGCCAAATTTCCAAAAAGATACACTTAGTAGTTTCGCTTAAAATGCAAGTTTTGTGAAAATTCGTAAATTTGGCATTTCTTGAAAACCAGTTTTTGAATCGTTCTGAAAATTTGGATATAAGCTTGATTTTTGATTCTCTACAACATTTCCATTGACACCAAAATGGGTTTCTTTTGAAGAAAGTGCTCAAACTGTCACATATGACAATAGCCGGCGGGTTTTCCATTCTCAGACCCAATAGATTGAGATTAGCCTTGATTTGAGGAGAAGTCAATGTCGAATTTGAAGATTCGTAAACGGCCAGAAGAGCTTGTGGAGCAGAGAGGGAAGGGACTTATGTAAAAGCCCTGCGCCAGACGACAAGCGATTACGCGGCCGCACAAAGAACACACAGAACACAAATTTTAAGGGGAACTACTAGGTGTATCTTTTTGGAAAATTGGATATAAGCTTGATTTTTGATTCTCTACAACATTTCCATTGACACCAAAATGGGTTTCTTTTGAAGAAAGTGCTCAAACTGTCACATATGACAATAGCCGGCAGTTTTCAATTCACCAACCCAATAAAATGGCACAGAAAATGTATAAAAGTTTCCTACGTCTGGGGCTGGACATGAGCTTTGACTTGTTCTAGATCCAATCTAACCTGGCTCATCTTGCAAAAGGTTGATTTAAATATTATAATTATTGAATTATTGAATTCAATTATTGGATTGAATTATTAAAATCTAATAGATTCATAAAGAAACTTTTCAAAGTTTGTTTGTTTGTTTCTTTAAAGAAAAAGGGAATAAAGAATAAAATAAAGCTTTCTAATAAAGCTATTCATTAAAAAACATTGTTTATTAAATAAAAATGAAAGAAAAGAGGATAAAAGAGTTCAAAGTTGCTAAGTTTTTCAATTTTAAACTAGGCTTAGGCTCTTTCAAGAGGCTTAGGCTCTAAACCTTTAACGAGGATCAATGAGAGGGCAAGTCTGGTGCCAGCAGTCTAGTGCCAGCAGTCTGGTGACAGCAGTCTGGTGCCAGCAGTCTGGTCAGCAGTCTGGTGCCAGCAGCCGCGGTAATTCCAGCTCTCAAAGTGTATGTCATTATTGCTGCGGTTAAAAAGCTCGTAGTTGGATCTGAGCCTTTGGATACGGTTCACCGCTGTGTGATACTGGATCCGGGGTTAAATTCGTCGGTTCTCCGGCGAGATTCGATTTACCAGGTTAAAACCCAAATTTAAATAATGTTTAATGGTTTCTATTTCTTTAAATCAACATAGAATTGATTTTATATCCTTTTAAAACAATTCTGAGCACAATTTCGATCAAAAATTCAGCTTAAATGCATAAAAATTTTAACATTTGAATGAAAATTTGAAATTTTTCGCTTTTTAATTGAAAATTTCATGATTTCAAAAGAAAAAGTTAGATTTTAGTGAAGTGAATTGCTTTTATATCCTTTTTAAAACAATTCTGAACACAAATTCGAAAGAGAAGCTAGTTTAAATGCATAAAGTTTTAAAAATTTTTTTAAGAAAACTTAAAAAGTTTTTTCCGAATTTCGACAAATCAGACCTTGCTGACAAGTCAAATTTGGGCTAAAAGGCAAAAACTACGCAACTTAACGCTTTTCCGCAATCTACGCATACGATTCCCTTATATGGAATATTTTCGAAGCTCGACGACCTTTCCTAAGGCCTTTTCCAGCAAAAAACAAGGTGCGCAAATGTCCAGGTGCGCAAGTGTCCAGGTGCGCAAAAAAAAGGACGCATTTGTCCCATCCTCGTCTTTTTTAAACAATTCTGAACCCAATTTCAATCGAAAATTCAGCTTAAATGCATAAAAATTTCAAAATTTTGCTTTTTAATTGAAAATTTTATTATTTCAAAAGAAAAAGTTCAATTTTATTCAAAAAAAAATGGACAAAAATGTACAAAAATGTGGCAAATGGATAAGATTCGATTGATAAAATGATAAAATTCACATATGATTCCTCGTTTTTTCTATCCACGGTAGATCTTGATTCAATTTCGTCCAAAAGTAGGGCGAGAAAGCGATTTGTGGCACCATTGCATAGGTTTTTAGCGCTTTTTTTTCTTTCATTTCATCGATTTTCGAAAATACGAAAGAAAATACGAAAGAAAATAGTAAAAAAAAAGAAAATAAAAGAATAGATCGAGAATTCATCTTCCAACAATTGAAAAAGAATGCTAAAAAATCGAAAAGACACATTTTCTATTTGTCTCATTTCTCTATGTATTCTTTTTCTTTTCTTTTCTTTGCTCCTTTTCTTTTTTTATCAATCTTTTGCCTTTTCTATTGATGAAAATTGATGTCGGGAAAGGGGAAAATTGAGAAAATTGAGAGAATTTGTGATATATAACTGTTCTAAGCCTTTTCATGGATGGGTGGACCCCCGCAAAATCTCTCGGGGTCATGAGATCGTTGCAAACGATCTCTACTAGACGGAACTTTTTCTTGAAATAAACAAGATAAGATATTGAAGGCTTAAAGCAGTAGTAAGGCTTGAAACCTAAAGTAAAGCAGTAAAGCACTTAAGCAGTAAAGCAAGCAAGACTACAACTTACCAGTCTTGCCTTTACTTACTAATTGACAAGCTTTATGGATATAGCTGCTTACATTTCGTCAATCAATTTATCTACGGCTTATGAAGCTGAGAGGCTTATGAAGCTGAGAGGCTTATGAAGCTGAGAGGCTTATGACGCTGAGAGGCTTATGACGCTGAGAGGCTTATGACGCTGAGAGGCTTATGACGCTGAGAGGCTTATGACGCTGAGAGGCTTATGACGCTGAGAGGCTTATGACGCTGAGAGGCTTATGACGCTGAGAGGCTTATGACGCTGAGAGGCTTATGACGCTGAGAGGCTTATGACGCTGAGAGGCTTATGACGCTGAGAGGCTTATGATGCTGAGAGGCTTGTGATGCTGAGAGGCTTATGATGCTGAGAGGCTTATGATGCTGAGAGGCTTATGATGCTGAGAGGTAGGGGTAGGGCCTTATCCCTCACTAGGGCAAAATAACAAGAATGTCATGGCTTCGGTCGGTTGTTCTTTGCGCTCCAAGGTAAACTAAATCGATCTGGCACACCGAAATCCCAATTTTTACCAACCTAGATACCAAGCTGCGGGAAAAATGAGGAATTCGGTGTGCCAGATCGATTTAGTTTACGTTGGAGCGCAAAGAACAACCGACCGAAGCCATGACATTCTTGTTATTTTGCCCTAGTGAGGGATAAGGCCCTACCTTGGCGGCAGAGGTACATGTCGTTGTGGCTCATTGGTAAAGCGTTCGCCTAGTGATCGAGAGGTAGCAGGTTCGAATCCCGGTGGGTCATTTTTTTGTATTCCTAGCTTCAAAAGGATAGATACTTATACTGGAAACATTTGAAGCTTAAAATTGCGTTGTGTCATTGAAAAAAACGAAGATTGATGTGAACAAGCAGAAAGGAAAAAAGTCTAGATAAAGATTACGAAGGTTTCCCGTAATGGAAGCACTTGGAAATTCATCAAATTTCCAACTTAAAGCCGTTTTCGGACGAGAATTGATCAGCGGAATTTTGTTTTGCTCAAAATTTCGGCGCAAATTTGTAAACACACGCTTTCTAATCGAGAATTCTCGCAAGAATGACTTGCGATTGCTAGAAAATGAAGCAATAAGTGCACGAGAAAGAGAGAGTTTACAAAAGCTTTTATCAATCTTACGATTTCTCTATTTTCGAGCTTTCTTTTGTGTTTTTTGTGACTTTTTGTTTCAAATCTTCAAGGAGCGCCAAGTTTACCAATGCTCTAACTCTTTTTTACATTTCAACAATCGTTTTATTTACTCAAGAAGTCTCTCAAGTCTCACTTGTTCAGCGAGAACAAACGACGCGATTTTTCCCCGTTTCTCTCTTTTCTTTGCCGCCTTTTTTTTTTAGGCAATGGCCAATTTCTGTTGATTTTTTTCGTTTTTCATTCTTTTTTTGAAAGACTTTTGTCTCAGAATATTGACGAAAGTGAGTATAAAATGTGGATGAGAAATTGAAGAATTCACACTCGATTCTTCACTCGAAATCTACAATGTCTACCAAGATCTTCTCGCTTTTCATTGCTGCTTTGATTGTTGTCGGGCAAACTGAGGTGAATTTTAGATTCTAGAGCTTTAAAAGACTATAGAATACTGTAGATGACTGTAGAAGATTGTAGAAGACTGTAGAAGACTGTAGAAGACTGTAGAAGACTGTAGAAGACTGTAGAAGACTGTAGAAGACTGTAGAAGACTGTAGAAGACTGTAGAAGACTGTAGAAGACTGTAGAAGACTGTAGAAGACTGTAGAAGACTGTAGAAGACTGTAGAAGACTGTAGAAGACTGTAGAAGACTGTAGAAGACTGTAGAAGACTGTAGAAGACTGTAGAAGACTGTAGAAGACTGTAGAAGACTGTAGAAGACTGTAGAAGACTGTAGAAGACTGTAGAAGACTGTAGAAGACTGTAGAAGACTGTAGAAGACTGTAGAAGACTGTAGAAGACTGTAGAAGACTGTAGAAGACTGTAGAAGACTGTAGAAGACTGTAGAAGACTGTAGAAGACTGTAGAAGACTGTAGAAGACTGTAGAAGACTGTAGAAGACTGTAGAAGACTGTAGAAGACTGTAGAAGACTGTAGAAGACTGTAGATGACTGTAGAAGACTGTAGATGACTGTAGAAGACTGTAGAAGACTGTAGAAGACTGTAGAAGACTGTAGAAGACTGTAGAAGACTGTAGAAGACTATAGAATGCTGTAGATTGCTGTAGATTGCTGTAGATTACTGTAGATTGCTGTAGATTGCTGTAGATTACTGTAGATGACTGTAACTTGTACTGAATAGCAATTTCTTAAAAGAAAAGTAAGCGAATTGTGGATTTAAAAAGTAAGAGACACTTAAAGATCCTCAAAGTTTCCTTAAAGATCCTCAACTTCTCTAAAGATCTTCAACTCTATCACCTACCCCCTAGTGCAATAGATGCCTTGTGTTTCTAAGCAAAACCCACCTCAAAGTACACTCTTTCAGGCCTACTACCTAGCGTACAGCGCCTACGGATATCCATCAGTTTATGGAGCTCCCGTTGTCGCTTCTCCTTACGCCTATGCCTATGCCCCAGCCGCTTACGCTTTGTGGGGATCAAATAAAGGAAAAGCAATGGATGGAGAGAAAGCCCCAGAACAACCACCAACTTCTGGACTTACGAACAATCGACAATAGATTCGGCGAAGGATTTGTGTGTGTGTATATGCGAACAAATCGTTTTCTATTGTTTTTTCACTTAAAGTGAATAAAGATTTCATGGTTTAATGGCTTTTTGAGGCACTGGAAATTCAAATTCAACGAAACAAAACAGAAAAATTCGTGTAACTTTGTTACAGGCTGTTTTGAAATTCTGTTTAATTGCTGTTTAATTGCCGTTTAATTGCCGTTTAATTGCCGTTTAATTAACGTTTAATTACCGTTTAATTTTCTTTGATCAACTTCTTATTTCCATTCCATCGAGTTTGGAAAATAAAAACTCGAAATCAACTCGAAATTGGCATTGAGTTCAAGAGCTCAGAACCAAAAAATCCTCAACCAAAATCAAGCCAATGTCAAACTCCCAAAAGACGCCAACATTGGTTAAAGGCTTTCCGACCACAATCTTTGCCTCATTATGTTCCAAAATCCATTTCCTGCCCTGGCTTAAACCTTTGAACCAGGGTTGTAACCAGGTTCTAAGTCAGAGGAATCGCCTAGCCTAGGCTTGGGGCTTACGATAAACTGGCTAGGCACAAATATACCAATCAGAAGTCAACCAAGACCAAGCCTAAGCCAAAGCCTAAGCCTGAGCCTAAGCCAAGCCAAGCCAAAGCCCAGCCAAGCCAAAACCAAGCCTAAGCCAAGCCAAAGCTCAGCCAAAGCCCTGCCAAAGCCAAGTCAAAGCCAAGCCAAAGCCAAGCCAAAACCATAGCCAAGCCAAAGCCCAGCCAAAGCCATAGCCAAGCCAAGCCTAGCTTTAGTTTGACACAATAGATTGGGAAAGGGATTTGTGTGTATAGTACCGTATAGTACAGTACAGTACAGTACAGTATAGTACAGTACAGTACAGTATAGTACAATACAGTTACAGTATTCCTTCCAATTTTCAGGCCTACAAAGTGGAGACAGTTGGTGACAGTTATATGTCGGTTGGTGGAATCCCGGAGATCGTCGAGGCTCATTGTGAGATCATTTGCCATCTCGCGCTCGGCATGCTGTACGAGGCAAGGAATGTCACTGATCCAGTTTCCGGTGAGCAAGTAAACGAATAAGAAAAGATATTCAGTTAAAGGGTAATCTAAACAGAAACTTTGCATTTTCGCTAACCGTTTTAGATTTTTTTGTGTTGAATTCAAGTTTTTCTATAGTTTCCTCTAAGAAACCGTATTGGAACCGTATTGGAAACGTATTGGAACCGTATTGGAACCGTATTAGATCAAAATAGGAACCGTATTGGAACCGTATTCGAATCGTATTCGAATCGTATTGGAACCGTATTGGAACCGTATTGGAAGGAAACGGACGCGACCTATAAACTATTTATAAACAATTTTTAAACATTTAGGTAAACCATTAAAAATCAGAGCTGGAATTCACTCTGGTCCCGTTGTGGCTGGAGTTGTTGGTGCTAAAATGCCAAGGTGAACTTCATTTTTCGCTTCTGATAACTAGTAATCGCTTCTGATAACTAGTGTCTTAAGTATAAAGTAATCCAATCTATTCCCGAACTTTAGATATTGTCTATTTGGAGACACAGTAAATACAGCTTCTCGAATGGAATCGCACAGTCCAGTCGGGAGAATTCATTGCAGTGAGAGTGCTGTGAAGTAAGTAAATATAAAAAGATATTCATCTATAAAATTACATTTAGATTTAATATTAGGTTGTTCGGACAACCTAATAGATAATTTTCTAGATCAGCAGCTATAGATTGAAGATTTAAAGTTGATAATCATATTTCATTGATAATTTTTCAGTTGTGCTCAAAAAACTGGCCGCTTTGAGTTCGAAGGTCGTGGAAAGACTCAAATTAAAGGAAAAGGAGAGATGAATACATATTATTTAATTCGAAGTTTCAAAAGATCGATCTGGGAGATTATTCAGCATCAAAGAGGTGAGGGGAATAGTTGAATAACTGAAAGAATAGAGGCTGATTGTTTGACTTAAAGAAGTAACCTCGGTTGATTTGAATATGGCCAACTTTGCGTTCTTTTCTATCACTATCGGATTGTGTCTAGCAGATTTATAGAAAGCTTTTCGGTCGGTTTAATTACCCAAATCTTTATCTAAGTTAATCCAGTATTAATTTGAGTAACTAAACTGGCTTTAAACTCAATTTACAGCAATAATTATGGCACTGAATAGCCCAAATCAACTGTCAAACTGATAATTTGATTTGATTTTTTAATAAAACAATAGATACTAATAAAGTTAGCACTTAAATTTTGATTTTCCACATTTTTTTAGGGTAATCAATTACGCTGATTACGAATTTGATGTTTAAATTGGTGTTCTCAATTGTTCAATTGTTCCAATTGTTTGTTCCTAGGAGTAAACAGATATGGACTAGAATTAAGTTAAAGAGAGTGGACTCCTTCTGATATTCTGTCATCTCTAACACTCCGACAAACCCCGACTCAACTCCTCCAACGTATTAGAAGGGAGTCCCTGTGAAATGACCGACCCAAACTGCAGTTGAATATCCGGAAGATATATATCTTTATTTACAGTACAATATGAGCTACACAGCTCAAAAGGAAACTGTTTACCGAAGCCTAAGCCTAATCCTAAACCTGAAGCCTCAAGCCTAAGCGTTTTAAGGCTAAGGCTTTTGGTTGGGTAAAACCCAACCAATAAAAGAGTTATTTGGGTTTGGTCTCAACCCGTTCCAATTACTGATCCAATACAAAAATGTCTGAAATGGGGCTGAAATGTCCCAACTTGAACAGCTTCTTTGATCCGATAAAAGTACGGAAATCATAGGGCTGAAATGTTCCAATTTCCACCGTCGCCTCGATTCAATAAAAGTACAGAAATCAATTTGCAAGGATCCCCACTAGCCCAAACCCAAATAGCCGCCTTTTTTGGGGGAGGGAGGCCTGAATATTTGAGTTAGTGCTAGGCGCTAGCCGCTAGCCTACGCACTAAGTCCAAGCCTAACAAGGAAACTTTCCAAAGTTACCCGCGGGAAACTTTCCCAAGTACAATATGAGTTAACTAGTACAGCTAGTTACACCAAAATAAACATCTGAATTCAGATCTACATTCAGAAACTGTTTTCAAAAACGGCTAATCGGCAAAACGCACAAAGTTATAGGCGTTCTGAATTTCGGCTTAAGGCTTATAGGCTTAAGCTTAGGCTCAGGCTTAGGCTTAGGCTTAGGCTCAGGCTCAGACTTAGGCTTAGGCTCAGGCTTAGGCTCAGGCTTAGGCTTAGGCTTAGGCTTAGGCTTAGGCTTAGGCTCAGGCTCAGAGGTTCCTAAAAGCACAAAGTCCAAAACTTTCACACTTTCACAAAGTCCAAAACTTTCATCCAAAGAAAAGTCAATTTTAAGATGAAAATGTGAATTCAATCGACGGATATCAAGAGCTCAGAGCTCTTCTCTTTGCCGAAACTGGATTAAAGAAGAAAAAATCGACAAATCCAAGCATTGCCTGCTCGATTTGTTAAGTTTTTTTGGGATTTTACTGAAATACTTTTAAAGATGTTTAAAGTTTTCTAATTGATTATCGTTTTTTTGTCATTTTAATCGCTTTTTCTTTATTCTTTTGTCATTTTTAAGCTCTTTTTGATTATTTCTTTGTCATTTTATCATTTTTAACCTCTTTTTCTTTATTCTTTTGTCATTTTGTCATTTATTTTATCTAATTTTATCTATTCTTTTGGAATTTCATTATAAAAATTCAAAGATTTTGATTTTTTCGAAACTTTTCTTCAAAAAAATCGCTTAATTTCATGAAAACTTGTAAAATAAATGAATAAATATAAGAATTTAACAAAAAAAATAGCAATTTAATATAAGTTTTTAGAAAAATGATCAAGAATTGAATAAAATTCGTTTCAGAATAGGATTCGTTCCTAGGTGTAAACGGATATGGACTAGAATTTGGGTTAAGTTAAAGAGAGTGGACTCCTATTGATTGAGAGTCCACTCTCCTATTGATCCTGCCATCTCTAACACTCCGACAAACCCCGACTCAACTCCTCCAACGTATTAGAAGGGAGTCCCTGTGAAATGACCGACCCAAACTGCAGTTGAATATCCGAAAGATATATATCTTTATTTACAGTTGTACGATAAGACGAATAGATTACAAATGAGTGAAAGGGAAAGGGGGGACTCCAAGTGAGGGCCTCACTTGTCCTCCTAGGCAATCCCAAGAACCGCCCTTTCTCGGCGATGAAAGGGATAAGCACAGCCAAATTTACGAATCTTCACAAAACTTGCATTTTAAGCGAAACTATTAACTGTATCTTTTTGGAAATTTGGCTATAAGCCTAATTTTTGATTCTCTACAACTTTTCTATTGACACCAAAATGGGTTTCTTTTGAAGAAAGTGCTCAAACTGGGCTGACAGTTGACATCTCCAGTCCTCCATTTTTGAGTCTCACACTTGTCTCACACACAAACCAAAATCCTACTGCGAAAGAGGAATTGCCTGAAAATGGGCAGAAGTCGTCAATAATGGAAATTATTTGGAATGAATTGATGGCCTGAATAAATTTTAGTTCCAAGTCCCGCAGTTTTCAATTCACCAACCCAATAATTCTAATCACTTCTAATCTCTTTTAATCAACTATCTAATCATTCGAATTCTGGGTTCTTTTCCAATATCGGGGGAGCGGTCCGATTATCGGGGGAGCGGAAGGAAAATCGGGGGAGCAAATTTTGCCCCCTCGAAAAATGCATTTCTGGGACTTTTATTTTAACTGCAACGTTTTTTTAAACTTTAACGACGATGCGCTTCTCCGATATTTGTGCGTTCAAGGAATCGACGGCAATCGATTATTTCGTCACCAAAGGAGTCATCCAGTCGTGGATTTGCAACTGTGGCGAATCGATGAAAGTCCGCTCAAAGGGAAAAGATCTATTTCGCTGGGTATGTGACACTTGCGCACGGCGAAATGTCCCCAAGTGTTAGATATTTAAGTCACTTTTGTGATCTAATATAAAGGTTGTGAGAATAACGGGTAATTCGCGGATTTTATGGCAGTACTTTGGATAATATAGGACATATGTAGCGCTGCCAAAAAATTTAAAAAAAAACGTTGCAGTTAAAATAAAAGTCCCAGAAATGCATTTTTCGAGGGGGCAAAATTTGCTCCCCGATTTTCCTTCCGCTCCCCCGATAATCGGACCGCTCCCCGATATTGGAAAAGAACCGAATTCTGATCTAAAACTTTCATAAAACTTCACAAAACTTTGTTTTTGTCTAAAATGCAAATTTGTTTCAAAGTTATGGCAAAAATTGTTGATTCAATCGGGTTTAATTTAATTTTAATCGATTTCCCACAAATCCCCAGTTTAAAAGCAATTTTGACTTCTTAATTTATAAAAAAACAAAATTTATATAAAAATAGTCAATTCTCAAACTTGTTTCGTCAAATTAGATATGTTTTTTTTTCGATATTAAACTCTTTCAAAATCATTTACAGCTAATTTCTGAATCAAAATCTTTTTCTCATAAGTAGAAAGAGAAAAATTGGGTAAATAAACCCACCAAAAACCCCAAAAACCCGAAAAACCCCAAATGTTTACTCAAATCTCTGTTTTCTTCGCTCAATTCTTTCCCTTTTCTCTTCTTTCCTTGAGAAATTCACATACAAATCAACAGGTTGCTCACTAGTTTTGAGAAATTTTGAAATTCTCATTCTTTGACCTTAAATTTTTGTACTTAAAGTCAATGATAAAAGCAAAATTCGATCTTTAAGTGTACTTTGAGTGTAAAAATTGTAAATACAACTTCCCTGATGCACTCAATTTCTAAGAGTAAGCCATCTTTGGCACACAGCTAACACAACAAACACAGCTAACCAATTTTTTACTCCATAGCTTTTTCTTGTTTATGCGATTTTCTGTAAAAATGATCACTAAGGGTAACGAATTGTGAAAAGAAATCTTAAAAAGCTTTGTTTTTGTTTTCAAATTTCAAAATTCAACTACAAAAACAAGTAAAAGTGAAAGTAAGGGCAAAAGTAAAACGAAAATTCCAGTTTGAGTACGGGTTGGCAACTTGCCAAGCCTAAATTCTAAAATACACCTAACTACCGTAGTCGAGACGGCGTCTCATTTTTCCTTTTGAAATTCATTCTTTCAAAAAAAATTTGGCGATTTGGCGCTTCGCTGTCTCTTTTGCGCGTATTTTTCCTATTCTCTATCCTTATAAATTTCTGTTTATTGTTAAACTTTCCGTTCTTCTTTTATTTTTAAACTTTCCGTTCTTCTTTTATTGTTTTCACCTTTTTCCCTGTTTCTTTCTTTTAAAATTGTTAAAGTTTAGATTTTAGAGTTTCTATACTTTCTATCCTTTCTATTCTTGCTATCCTTTCTATCCTTTCCCTTTCTATACTTTCTGTCGTTTCTATACTTTCTATCGTTTCTATACTTTCTATCGTTTCTGTACTTTCTATCCTTTCTATACTTTCTATCCTTTCTATCCTTTCTATACTTTCTATACTTTCTATACTTTCTATACTTTCTATACTTTTCTCGGTCTTTTCACTTTGTTGATTGGTGCTATGGGAGTTTAGGGGCATTGAAAATTTGAATAATTTCATCAAGTTGCATTTAGTGATTGTTGTTGATCTCTGTTGATTGTCACGCGACTTTTACTATTCATTTTAACAAATTAGGTTTTTATTTACTTTACTTTCTTTATTTAGTTATGGCGGGTGTCGCTGCAGCAAATAGATTAGAGCTGAAATCGTTTAACCTATTGAAAGAATGGCCCAAAATTGCCGGAAAAGCTGATGTTGACTTTGACGGGTGGCTAGAAGATCGGGGATTGCTATGGAAAGTGCGCAACTGCCTCAATTGTAGCTACTTTGGAACACGTGATGCAAAAATATGTTCTTCCCGATTCTACGATACACAGATTTGTTGATCTGACTACAGCAACTTGGCAAATTTGGATTATGTTCACCGGACGTTCAATCATAGGCAAAACTTTGTCAATCCTATAAATGGTGTTCATGCCTAGTAAATAGAGTCCCTTTGGAGCAAATCAAGAGAAGAATTAGAATGAGAAATGGACTTAACGTATTTGGATGACCATTTTCTTGAGGTCTTGAGGCAGTGGCAAAGCTCTTCTGGATAGAAGTCGTTGCAAAATACCCACTCTTCTAAAGCCAGTCAATCCAGTTCAGCCGCGAATTTGTCTTGTTATTCCTCTCGTTTTGGAAAATCATTTGAAATTAGTGTTTCTGGGTTAAAAGAATTAGCAGTTTGGGTAAAATTTCGATCTAGGATTTGGATGTTTGGAGCCGTAATATGTTAGTAATATTTTTTTCAACTTGCTCTTTTAAAAAATGAGAAAATAATATTTTATTTAGCGTAGAACTCACTTTTTGTGTAAGGACAGCATTTTTGATGTGAAATTTGATTCTTTCAGAACCCGGAATTTTCTTACCACTTTTTGAAAACCCAAATGCGTCACATCCAAATTTAGGTCACTTTAAACTTTTCCATTTGAATTTGTCCTCAATTGCTATTTTGTAAAATATACGGTTCCAATACGGTTCTTTTTTTGATCTAATACGGTTCCAATTGATGTAAAATATACAATTGATTCGCTAAGACGTGCACAGCGCTGTAGATTTTGCCTTAAAAGGGTGTTTTTTTGGTTTATAGATTTTAACAAGCCAATTTTTTGCACTTATTCTTTACTTTTTTTTTCCCTGACCTTTTTACCTAATTTTATGTAGTCAAAAGTCAATAGCCCGCACTAAAAGACAAATAAACAATCTCTCGGCTTTCAGAAAAATATTTTCAGGTTGAAAGAGAAAATTTTGCGTTTTTCTTTGAAAGCACAACAATTTTATCCTAATACTGACAACAACATAACAATTTTTTACTTAATAGCTTTAGCGATGTTTTAAAAACTAAGAAAATAACTTTATTTGTACGTAAAATAGCTTTTTTGCTCATTAATCTTTCTACCTTCTTTTTTCTAAAAGTCAAACTGATTTTGAATCTTTTATTTAATTAAATTGATTATGATATTTTTAGAGAAATGGAGAGCTACGATAAAGAGAGAAATATCTCTACGATCAAGATTGAACCCGGATTGCCAATGCCCGCTGCACCACCGGGAGCTCGTGAGTCGTTGAAATCTTTAGCTTATTGCCTATTTTCTAAAACATGTTCCCTTTCTCTCTACCGTGATTTTGTCTCTATTTTTATTCAATCTACCGTGTTCTCTAATAGTAGTGCACCCTGAGCGTCGCCTAAATTCTCCGAAGTCTCGAGAACCGCTTATCAGAACCTATCGATGTGGGGTCGGAAAATGTAACTGACGATGAGATCTAGTGGGGGATTTGAGTGTTGAGCTTTTGTGAAAGCTTGAAAACTGTAAAATCGTCACCAACTCGGCTCGCTGGGGCGCACTACTATTAGAGAAAATACGCTAACTACTTTTTGTTTGATTCTGTGAGCGTTCACAAAGGATATCGAAAGATATAAAAAGTGAATAGATTAGAGAAAAAGAGAAACAGAATTAAGATAAAAAGAAAAAGGGGACACGTTTTAGAAGTCTAATCATTAGCGTTTCAGCTGTCGGCTTTATGCCAACGATGGCCCCAATTGCTGGAGTGCCAATTGGACTCGAGTATCTCACGCAAATCGATCGTTTAATCATTCAACAGGTGATTTATCTTAGCCAGTTTAATGCCCTGTACTTTGTGCTTGATTTTACAAACGCATTCTTTTTATTAGACTCTTTCTTGCTTCAAAGATTCCCTTTTAGAAAGTGAGCCTTTTGGAAGCGGTCGCCGGTTGGGAGGTGAAAAATAAATACGCTATTTACAATTCTGTTGGACAACAGGTGAGAAAATGGCTTGTTTTTTTTTAGAAATTTCAGACATTCTGGTCTTTGATTGATGAAATTATAGGTCTACTACGCTTACGAGGAATCAGGATGCTGTATGAGACAATGTTGTGGAGGGCAAAGAGGATTCACTATACATATTGTCGATAATTTCAATCGAGTGAGTACAGAGAAGTTTTTTTGAACGCTAGATAAGTTTAAAATGCTGTAGCTGTAGTAATCTCGATAATTAGAACAGATTCAAGACAATTTGAAGTGAAACTCTTGTCTTCCCAGAAAGCCAGAAATTTCCTTCTCTTTCTTCCTTGTGTTTCCTATTTCTTGTTGGGGAAAGAAGGCGCTAATAGCTAATGATAGAGAGTCTGCCCGGTAAGCAGAAGATCGAGGGTTCAATTCCTCTTGGAAATTCTTTATCATTTACTTTTTTTACGTTATTGACAGTTTACTCTACCCATTTTTATTGCTAGACTCCTTTTTTTATTCTTTTATTAGCTAAGTTTTAGGAAGTGATGCGTATCAGCCGTCCCTTCAAGTGCTGTACCTGGTGTTGCTTGGCGAATTTCCGTTGCTGTGGTTCTGAAGTGACTGTCGAGGCGCCAGTCGGGAATGTGGTTGGTCAAATTTACTTTATAGTAATCAAAAGGCGGGTTTAGAATCAATTAAAGATCTATTATCTATTCATTAATCCATTAAAAACTTATCTAAAGGCTGGTTACTGAAAAAGTGTCATCTGAGCTGAAGAAATCTCTTATTTATCAAAAAGTTGGGAAGAATTTATGGCTTAGTTTTTAAGAAATCACCGTGCAGACTTTTTTTTTACGAATTTTCTTGTCAATCTAATAGTTAGCAGGACTGTAGGACTAGTTCCGTGCTAATAAAATTTACAAGTAGTTATATATCTCTTCAAGAAGTTATATATCTCTTGTATACCAAATCTGCTCGTGTCTGTAATGTAGACTTAGCGGAATAATAATCAGTTCCGTTAAAGTACTCACGGAATAATAATCAGTTCCGTTAAGTACCGGTACTTATCAAGATCTTGGTTCAATATTAATACAGCTAATCAAAGAAATTAAGGAAATTGTTGCTGATCTTTTTAGGATAATTAGCGTTAAGCCAAATCTTTTTAAAACTTCAAATTTCGGATCGGTGTTGTGCGGGAGCGTTTCGGGTGTTGTTCTTACAATATGGCGATTATGAACGCCGATGAGTCGCAAGAGATTTTGAGGTATCGGAACTAAGAGCTCGAACTATGACTTTCTGTATTAATCCTTTATTTGCATATTATCGTAACCTTTCCAGGATCACCGGCCCGAACATGTGCAGCTTCAATTGGTGCTGTAATTGTTGTGCGGACAAGATTTTCGATGTAAAATTTCAAATTCTTTACGATTTAAGAATCTTTATTTACAGCTGGAGACGCCTGATCGCCAATTAGTTGGCACAATTCGAAAAAAATGGAGTGGACCGGTGAAAGAGATGTTCACCGATGCAGATAATTTCATTGCTGAGTGTGAGTGAAATTTTTATCGTAGCTAGTTTTAGTCCCCATTCTTTGTGCCCGAATAAACGCTCAACCTCTAGCGCACTTGATTCCTGCTTTTTAGTGACATTAAAAGCAAGAGGGTGCCAGTGGGGAAACGTTTACTAGAGCACAAAGTATATAAAGCTTTTTTTTTGTCTTTAGTCCCAATTGATTTGGACGCAAAAGCAAAAGGAACACTGCTTGGCGCCACGTTCTTAATTGTAAGTTTAAATTTTGATAAAATTCAAATAGAATATTCGTTTTTTAAGCAAAAAACAAAAATTTCAGGACTTTCTCGCTTTTGAAAACAATCAAAATCAACAAAAAAGTTAATGAGATGAATAAAACTACTTTAAGCGTACTTTAAGCTAATCGAATTAATAAATGTAAATAAATTTGTTTTGTACAAGTTGAAAATGAATTGAAAGACAAGATATGATTGAAAAAGTACAGAGTACAAAAGTACATTAAAATTCACTCAATTACAGTAAAGAAAAGTTTTCTCCTTTGGTGAAGACTTTAAAATCAAAAAGAGAGTGAAAAACGTGAACAATTGGAAGATAAAAACTTCAAAACTTGTCATCTAAGCCAAAAAGAAATTGAATCTTTCAACTTATTTGCATTTTTATGCAAAAATTCAAAAAAGTAAACAACGTTGGTGGGCGAGCAGGCGATCTAAAAAAAAAGGCGAGCAGTTTCGCAAACGAACTCCCTATCCACTACACCACTCAACGATCTTTTCGAGCATGATGAAGAGTACCTTTCTTCTCTCGGCCCCAAATTTTAAAATTTTTCTTTTTTTTTTCAAATTTAGTCAAAATTTATAAATTAGAAACTTTATAACTTTATCAGATTTAAAGATTTCCAACATTTCCAAATTTTTCAAAACATTTTATTCAGAATTTGTTTGTTTCTTGTTTGTTTATTGTTTGTTACTTGTTTGTTACTTGTTTGTTTATTGTTTCATTTGTTCTTTTATTCATTTTATTTTGAAATTTTTTGGCATTCTAAGAGGCGACAAAATTTGACAACAAAATAGAAATGTCCATTTTTGAGTTTTGGCGGCCGAATCGGGTCAGCAGTAAATACTGTAATAGTACCCCACCCTCATAATGACGGTGCGGAGTGCTGCGTAGCTCTAGCTTTGAACGAGTTTTTCTCGACACTGCTTTATGCTACAATGCTCGTTTGGGTGTCAAAAAATAGCTGAAATTCAGGGCTATTTTTTGATACCAAAACGAGCATTGTAACATAAACCAGTGTCGAGAAAAACGCGTTCAAAGCTAGACTACCGGAAATACTTTAATAGTACCATACCATAATGACGGTGCGGAGTGTTGTGTAGCTCTAGCTTTGAACGAGTTTTTCTCGACACTGGTTTATGCTACAATGCGCGCTTTGGTATCAAAAAATTTTCCAATTTTCCAGCTTTTCGCCAATGCGGCCGCCTCGTTGCAATCGAATGGAAAGACTAAGATATGTGCTGGGGCAAATGGTGCTCAAATGACAACATCGTGCCTCAAGCGTGCCTCCGCCGCTGCTCAAAGCGATTCCAAGGGGAAAGCAACGCAGCAAGAAAGCCGGGAAATTGAACTCCGGTCGGAACAATGACCGGAAATGCAACAATTTCAACTAAATACCCAACCTTGGATCTCCTTTGGATAGCGTTGAAGAGCCTAGCATTTGCACTAGATCTAGATGTATTTAAAGTGTACCTAAAGCGTTATTTTGCCTGAAATTCTCAATTTGCAAATTTTTTGTATAGTAATAGCTGAAATTCAGGGCTATTTTTTGATACCAAAAACGCATTTTTTGAGAGTACGGGCGCTTTGAAAAACAATGAAATACTAAAAACTTTTGCGACTACGCGGCTGTACGAGGGCCGTGGGGTACTATTACAGTATTTACGGTAGGTATTTATTCGAACGCAACAATGAAATAGGCAAACAAAAATTAACAACAACAAATTACTTATTAATAACTCCTCGAATAGAATTTTTCAAAACATTATTCAGAATTATGGCCTTTTCTTTTGCAAGCAACTTCTAGCATTTTGCAGCTACTTTACTAATATTGTCAGACGAGGGCTAGCATATACAGCTTAGCTACGGCCTCGCCACGTTAAAACACGGTATCCCGTCAGATCCGCCAAGTTAAGCAACGTTGATCGCGGTTAGTCTCTGGTTCGAATTCAGCAGATGAGTCAGGGATATCTTTCCCGAACCGACTGCTGTAGGTGCACCCATATGGTGAACTTGGTTCCCAAGACCGGTCCTATTAGGTTGTCCCATAAAAACCCAGAGGTTTTTCTGTTTTGATCACTACTCGCTTACAACACTACGTTTTGTATTTTTCTTTTTTTTCTTTTTTATGCTAAAACTTTCTTCTTTCTTGCATTAACATTCATTTTTTAGGGACCGACACGAAAAGTGAGTTGTAGTCGATCGAATGAAGCCCACTCGAGAAGAAATCCACGCCCTACTGCTTCAACGATTTTCAAGAGGGATTTCAGCGGCCAAAGCAGCACGAGAAATCAATCAATTTTATGGGAACAAACTTGTTGGAACGAGTACTGCACAGGAATGGTTTCACAAATTCAGGACGGGCAACACGAAGATCAAACGGAAGAGAGGAAGCGGCCGACCCCGGAAAGGGGATCGATCGATTCTGAGGTGCCGATTCCTGCAAAATCCCGATGGATCAACCCGAAAATTGGCTGGACGTTACTGTGGACGAATGACTGTGTGGCGATGGCTGCGAAAAGTGGGAAGAAATTGGAGAAAACAACGTCAAATCCCATACGAATTGTCGGCAACAATCCAAGCCAAAAGAAAGCGGATATGCCACCACTTCGAATATGCGAAGTGGAGCGAATATCGGCATGGTCGGCTTCCTCTTTCAAACATCATAACTCGTGATCAAACGTGGATTTTCTACGATGGTCGAGTGTGACAACGGCAGTGGTTGAAGAAAGGGCAAGTAGGAAAAATGGTGCCAAAATGGAAGATCCACGAAAAGAAGCGAATCTTGTGTGTCGACTGGTGTTCAACAGGCGTCCTTTTCTGGGAACTTCTCAAACCCAGGCAAAATTTCAACACCAAACAAAATTTTGATTCTGATTCTTCGTTGTTTCTATGTGCTGAATATAAATGAAATTCAAAATCTCTGGGTTTTTATGGGACAACCTAATACTAGGCCCCTTCCCCTGGATAACCAGGGATCCAGGGATTAGGATAACCAGAGATCCAGGGATTGGGATAATCAGGGATCCATATGGGTAGACTTGCCTAAGGCGCAAGCTCATATAAAGCGGGTAGCCTTCTCCTCCTACATCGTCTCCTACATCGTCTCCTACATCGTCTCCTACATCGTCTCCTACATCGTCTCCTACATCGTCCCATCCTCACAAACGATAGAATATTCCCTAGGTCTTAATGTGTAAATTGTGATTGTGTGTGCAAAATAAATCACCGGTAACCCCGCTATATATTATATTTGTTCATTTCTTCTTTTTTCATTTGTTTGTCTCTTGTTTGATTCTTGTTTCATTTATTTGTTTCTATTTTTCATTTCATTTATTTATGGGGTAACCTAGGTATGGGGTAACCTAGGTATGGGGTAACCTAGGTATGGGGTAACCTAAGTATGGGGTAACCTAAGTATGGGGTAACCTAGGGTAGACAGTTGTCTGAACTTTGACCCTAATTTTCTTTATGTTTTTATAAGTAAGTCTACAAAACAGATTCTAAACAGATTTGTTTTTTTTTTGATTCATTTTGTTGTCCATTTGGCATTCTAAGAGGCTACAAAATTTGACGACAATTTTGTTGAAGTAGTGTTACTTCAAATGAGTCATTTCTCGAGCATTTCTCGAGCATTTCATAACGCATTTTCTTTGTGTTCATTTTGTATTCACGAAAGCTCGTAAATAATTTCGTTTCGGGCTTTGAAAAGAGGAGAATTTTGTGAAATAAAAGCAAAAAAGACGAATTTTTCAAACATTCTGATGGCTCGTTTCCGGCAAACTGCCGAAAAATCTTTGCAGATTCGTTTACCAAAAACTCCCAAATCTTTTGAAGCAATTGGTATGAAAATTCGATTTTAAATTTAAAAAATGAATATTATCTTTCAGAAAAGAATGCTAATTTATTGAAAAACGATTTAAAAATGGAAATTATTATGGAAAATGCTTCTCGTTTCCATTTGAGCTTCGATGTGCCTAAAGAGCTGAAAGCTGAGCATTTCAAGATTATCGCAAGAACGAGAACGATCAAGATTATCGGAGATTTACCGATTCGGAAAAGGAAATTGAAAGTGAGCCGATCTTGAAAAGCACTAAATACCCAGCCAGATATTTTGAGACATTTAAATATCTAAATAGCTACTGTGATATCCAGCTTAAAAAGAAGAACATTTGATTTTAGCTCAATTTATATTCTAGCTTCATATTATGGGTGGATCTCGATCAAAGACATTTTCTTGCCAAAAACAATGCAATTCAGCTTAAATAAAATGTTATTCTTGGGATCTGGATGTCACAGTGTACTTAGAAATATTTAGTTTAGAACAATATGCTAAAGTTTTTATAGCCTAGTGGCTAGCGAGCTTGGTTCCAAGGCGGAGGGTGCTGGTTCGATCCCCGGAGGCGGCAAATTTTTTTGCTTTTAAAGAAAAACGAATTTTAGGCAAAGTGGTCAATGAGAACGCTTTTTTCTGAAACTCATCAATTGCCAGATGGAGTAGATTTGAAAAAGATGAGAGCTATTCTCACAAAGAAAAATCAACTCATCGTTTACACAGAAAAATTGAAAGAAAAAGGAGAAAAAGTGCGAATTATTCGAATGGAAAAGAGCTAAAGATGCTATAATTTCGAATTTTGATTGAATTGTTGAATAAACTGTTTTTAAAAATGCAAATTGCCCCCTCTGCATTGGAATTCCTGTTTGCGACGAGAATCGGAGCCAAAGAATCTATGAATCGGAGCTTTTTCCTGCAAAAAATCTATGAATCAGAGCTTTTTCCTGCATAAAAATCAAACGTTTGTTGCGATTTCTGCACAAAAAAAAGCAAAATTCTGCGTTCCAAGACGAGCCGATAATCCAATTCATTCATCTTCTTTGAAACAAAGCATAATTTCACTCGTCCTGTTGAGTGTCCTGTTGAAAATTTGACTTTTGCGTGGTTTCTGGGTATTTCGAAAAAATCCCGGATTTTCAACGAATCGTCACACTTTGAAGGCTTATAACTTTGTCCAGAGTTTATATTTTTGTCAACTTTTTATATCATTATAAAGGCGAGATTTTAGGCTTTCAAATAATACCGCATTGAAC